TCTGAGGTATGATGGTTGCTGATTTCATCCGTCTCTTCGTGCAACACCTCAATTTTGAAAAACAATTCATCTAATATGGCTAACTTAAACGAGGCGAACTACGACTGTATTAACAGGAATTCATTATCATTGCCTGCGCTGTGTAAGCCTAATCAAATGCGCTTTAACTCCTATGGAAATATTCTACATGCAACACCGAAATGTAACACAAGCAGATCTTTTGATAAGGAAGTAAATGGACGTCGGGAGGGGATGGGTAATATGCGTGCAATAATATCTAGAGCAATTCGAGGATGCGCGGTTCTACGATCACGTCCTTCCTACACAATCTGACATGGTTTTTTGATGCGGCACCCATAAGAAAGAAAGTGTGCGATATCAACAACCTTCTTATTTCCTTAAATGTCATGCTAATAGTCCCTAACGTCTCTTGTAATCCATTAAATAGTCAAACAATAGAGGCTGGCCTCCTTCGGACCGCGGAGGCGAATGCTGCCTGTTCAACATCTACGAAAGTGAGATGCGGTCAATACTCGCTATATGTAATTAGTCTGCTGCAATATAGAAACGAGCGGCACACCTCTGAACTGCGATGCGATTACTTGTATTCACCATAAGCACTTTCTCGTCGATATCAGGTTCCTTAAGTGATGTTGGCGTGGGAACACAAGTGATTATAACGTAAGAGATGCTAGAAATGCTTATGATCTTGAAATGCTAGGCAGCATTTTGCGGATATTTTTTTCTGCGACGGAGACAGTTGTGATATCCTTATAATTTTGTGCGTACGAGGTACTTGTAAATAAGTAGCTCGGTGCACATTTATTTGTCACCGATATAATAATCACCGTTTTTTGAGATTTGTGATATGGCGGGAAATGTTCGTTTTGTAAGTAGCGGTAGATATTAAGTATGAATACGAGAAGTCATGTATACGCTTTCATTATGATTCTTTAATCTTTCATATTGTCCATCCTTTTCCAAATTATCTGTTTAAAATATTAATAAAGTCCAAAGGGTTAATTTCAGATAGTGCTAGTCCTTTTTATCCGTTTATGTGCGTCTACTACCACTAAAACCCCTATAAAACCTTTATATATATTATTATCTAGTCCCCTTTTATTATTTTACGGGTGCATCTAAGAAACGGGGTGGAATCCCGAACTGAGTTTACCATGAGGACCTTATGCACACCCGTTTATGGAGCTCGCATATTCGCGAACAAACACAACGCCGTGAAAGGCCATAATGTCGATTGCAATCTAAAGTACCGTTTGCAGCATGTGGAGCGCAACGGAACAAGCGACGGCGGTTCAATTTCCCTTACGGTCGGTAGGGGTGCAGGCACGTCAAAATGGATATCAGAGTGTTGAATTTTTGAGTATTAAGTTAAGTGATAAGTTATGTTCTGTAAAGAAAGATTTTTGACCTCAAATACAAAGACCACAAGTGGTTTTATTTTATCTTTAACAATTTAAAAATAACTTTGACGAGTAGTTAATCGGGTAGGCATCAGCGGGATTCCGATGTGTGCTTATTTGTTGCGAGTCTGCGGAAATTATACAATTTCTTCAAAGAAAATGAATCTTTATTCTCACTTGAAGGTTGTTATCAGCGTAATTTCAGAATAACACAACGAACTCTAGTTTGAGAGGCCCAATTACTTACTCATTTTGAAGTCATTGGTTAGCATGTGCCTAGGACAACTAAGACTAACCTCTGATGAGCACTTAGCGAAAGAATTGCGTTTCATACCATGAGATCTTTCTTAATTATTTTGATAATTCTTCATTAATTTTTGTTAATCGATGATGAAAACTGGACTAAATGACCCACAGCACGCTATAGTTCTGAGTATGGCCGTGTATTCCGGTCAACCAAAAAGAGAAATAGGAAATATGTTGGTGTTACAATATGGGCTTAGAAAAGATTAAAATTAAAGGATACGTAAGATTTCGATGATGGTCATCGATGCAAATAGGCAACCCCAGGATCCGTGAGTACTGCCTTCATTATGATAAAACTGCCAGCACTGGGTAAAACATGAGGATTTTAGATTCACGACAGAGAGACAAGGGTGAGGATTCGATTACATAAGGGATATCTGACATGTCGGAACCGGCGTCACTGGTTCAATTCATTAACTTCTGTCAGGGCATCCGCACATCCCATCCTTCGTGTTGTGTTTTCATTTTGCAATCTCACCGCCTGTTATGGTCTAAGATTATAATCATTGCAAGTGTCGATTTCAAGTATAAAGGCCTGCTGCTACTTATGCGCTTCTTATACTTGCCGATTTCCTAAAGCGTCCGGTAGGTCAGGCCAATCTCCATGATGACTTAAATAAACTCCCACCAAGGAAAAGCGGCTGGACCATAAATACTGCCACTCGCGCACGCAGAAGCTGCATCCTACGGCGACGTGACATATCTGTCGCAATTCCCTAATGCTAAACCATGTTCTCGCCGAGATCGCCAGGATGTTGCATTGAAAAAGACGATTTCCGGCATCACTTGTTGGGTGGAAAGCCGCCTTGGCATCTCTTCTAATTCCAATTCTTTTTAGACATAAGTTAATAGGGGATTTACGAAAAGGGTGTTATGTTAGCAACGTTGTTTTCCAGATGCGGAAACAAATTATGCGACTGGAGCAATCGTCTGTTTCCGAAGAATGCTACTGGGAACATTACTCTGGAAGTTCCGATTGAGACCAGTTATTGGGTACGTTAATCATTTAAAATGCAATTTATGTACCGCACGAGCAACCACCAATAACTTAATTCTGACTCTGTTGGTCTGACTACAACACGGAGGTCCGCAGTCTGCTTAGCGAGCACAGCGGACCCAACGCAGCCTACGCCAAATGCAGGAACAGGGCCGACATACCGACATTCATCAGATGGTAGCGCTTGTTACAACGACGCGGTCCAACGTTGTAAAATACGAAGATAGGTCCCCAGTGATAAGAGGTACAGGGTTTCGCAGAACCTACTAAGGTGATGAATGTTATCACGCCAATCAGGATAATCTAGTTCTAAAACAAAGAGTACGACATCGTTCCTCTACAACGCCGACAAAGCAGTCTTAATACATCCTCAATCGACATCGAATTTAAAGTCCATTCGGACTGTCCCACTGCTAGGAGCAAACGTTCATGGAAAAACGTTTGGCAAGTATCCAGCCACACTTGTCGTCGAACGCGAGTCTTAAATCCAAAGTTTATTTGCAAATGAACGCCTAAATTATTGCTTAAGGAATTCGGGCTGTCAAACTGGACTTAGGTCGTCTGAGATAGAACGGATCGATGTGGAGTTTGGAGCATCGATTAGCCATCTGTCCTGACTGAGGATTGTTAATCACATATATTTTAGTCAAGAAAATGCGGTATGATACTGGCCCAAAGCAAGGAGTACGGCATCGCTGCTCTAGAACGCTGACAGAACACCGAGTTTATTTGCCTACTGAGCATCTGAATTATTGCTTTAAATGTGTGAAAATCCCCATCACTATAATTAGAAGAGAGAGTGGCGAGTAAACGTTCCTTTCGGTTAATTCTCATCAGGCCAATACAGTTACATTGGGCGGGGTACAGTGAGTGAAACAAAAATCGATAAAAGTTAGGTTTTAAATTACAGGCTCGGCAAGAGCGGAAGGGCGCCGAAAGTTGTATGTGGTTAGTCAACCTTTGACCACGGTAAGCGCGGAGCCTGAACAAGGTTCTTTTGGTTCTATGCGCCCAAAAGAACCTTGTTCAGGCTCCGCGCTTACCGTGGTCAAAGGTTGACTAACCACATACAACTTTCGGTGCCCTTCCGCTCTTGCCGAGCCTGTAATTTAAAACCTAACTTTTATCGATTTTTGTTTCACTCACTGTACCCCGCCCTATGTAACTGTATTGGCCTGATGAGAATTTACCGAAAGGAACGTTCACTCGCCACTCTCTCTTCTGAATTATTGCTTTACAAATGAGAGCTGTCTAACTGGACCAAGGTCGTCGGAGTAGGAAACATAGACGTAATTTAGGGAATGGATTACCGATCTGTCCTGACCGAGGACTGTTTGGTCATTTTTAGTCTGCCTAATCAAATCTTGCATACCACTGCACAAATTAAAAATGCGGACAGTATGCGCTCGTAAACCTGTAATTTCGGAAACATTTTAAATTAAAACATTGAATGTTTTGAACATTGATTGTATGCTTGTCGAAGATGTCTGGGTACGCTTTTATCCTTTCGGTAGGTGTTTCATTAAAAGTTGAATATGAGCGATGGTGCATCCACCTTTGCGTTTTCAAGATGAGTCCCGAACTGCGTTTGAAGAAGCCAGACATTTTACGATCCTACCTGACAACGTGTAAACAAAAAGGAATTGTTCGAATAGTTTGAAAAGCTTGAATTTCAAGTACGCGCTTGCCGATTTATGAGCATGTGTCGGATTTCCGAGAACGATGTCCTTGCTAGAACATTTGATATTTCATGTGCCGCCGTTCACATTTTTGACGGAAGTTTCCATGAATTATTTCAGATTCCAACATTTCTTAGTCCCGACCGCTTCTTTATTATCGCAATTTTCGAACTCTTCTTACCTTACCGCGATTTCCGGCCAAACCTTAAAATTTTACAAGGCACGTTTGATAAAAGTGAGGAATAAGTACCCATTGCGATTCAGTCCCGTTTGACTATGTTTTTAACACGATCCATTTTTACCGAAAAAACCGTCAATATATAGTGAGTGAAGCCTACGGTAAACATGTGCGCTTCCAACTCTAATCACTGCAGACCGTTTTGTTATTTTGACGTCGCATAAGGCGGAGAAGAATCATTGATTTTTTGACACCGCAGTAGAACTGTTTTAACCTCTAAAGATGATTCTGCATGAAATAATAGATCTCTTACGCAGGGTGTGGGCGTAGACCAATGAAATTGCAACTCCAAAGGAGGAAATACGTTCCATCTTTATATTAAGGTGCATGCAGTCTGAAATGCATTAATCACTGAGAAAATGCAGACAAACCTCTTCCTCCTCAATTTGGTAATAATGTCTCTCTTCCACTTCGGGTACGTCTTCATAAAAACTGTTCTAGCTATGATGACTTGATCTGTTATCTTTTTGATTGTACCTAGTATCTAGCAGGCAGTAGAATTTTGGTTTTATTTTAATGCCAGTTTCTTTGGAAATAATCCTTCAGAAATCATGAGAAATTTTGTAGCAGAAGCAGTCTGATTGCGATACGCAGAACCACTCAGATGAAGAAGAAACGTGTTTACCACAGTGTCCGTCGTCCCTCTACAGACCCTCTCACCGAACATGAATTGTCATAAATATTTCCAAAATAAAACATCAATTGTTGATAATTTTTGCAAAGTAAAACCCACCTCGTATGATAGCTCCGTCAGTCTTTCCATGAGAAGAATGTTCTAGCTAGCAGCATCCGATGAGCAACGCAAATCAACCTTATGGCGGCCAGCAATTTATTTAGAAAATATAATAATGTTACAAGCAGCTGCTTTTGAAAAGTAGTCCAGATGCAAATTGAATGCGTGTACGCTCAAGCCGAATATAAGTGCTTTCATCAAAAACGACAAAATTCTGAGCAGGATAAAAGGATTCTGATATTGTTCTCAGTGATATGTCATTACGTTAGCTCGGAACTGTAATTATTGTTAGACACAATGTAAACGGGCAAACACTGGAAATGTCACTCCCAATTCTTTTTAGACATAAGTTATTATGGGATTTACGAAAATGGTGTTATGTTAGCAACGTTGTTTTCCAGATGTGGAAGCAAATTATGCGACTGGAGCAAACGTCTGTTTCCGAAGAATGCTACCGGAAACATAACTCTGGAAGTTCCGATTGAGACCAGTTATAGGGTACGTTAACCATTTAAAATGCAATTTCTGTACCATATTTGAATGTAACATATCTCTGAAGACGCAATTTTGATGTGACACTGCATAATAATTCGCATACCAATTTAATTAAGGCTGTTTTTTCGTGTTAAAGAGCGGATATCTGGCAAGTGGACCCTTCTGGACATATATTTGGGCAAGAGGATGGTGTTCGTACAAGGAAGGTTACTTTCGCTGTCCCTACATCAAACGTATGACCACATTGCACCTTTAAAATCCATAATTAACTTTATTTACGTGAAAATGCCTTTAGTCTATTTCCTAGTCATACTGCATTCACACTGAGGTATTAAATGCAAAAACGTACTTGCTCTTTTTGAATATTTTTGTTCCACTCGCAGTCCCGACTTACAAACTCCACGATTCCCTGCAATACGATGAATGACATTCTTTTTTCATGCTTCTGATTAAGACGATGACTATGATGCAACTGCCCTAACGTTTTCGAATGCCGAGAAACTTTCCTACGTTTTGCTGAACAGTAAATATCCAGTAACAATTCACAAGCCTGAGGATGAGAGTATTCGTACGTTTAACCATCCCTTAGTTAAACATAGTGCAACTTTCTTGCAAACCGCGCAAACTCTGCCTGTGCAGAAGGCTGTCACTAAGCTTTTTCCTGAAACATTTAATTTTAGCTGGCTTTTATGTGAAAGAGGGTACAGCATTGGACATCTGCACTGATAACATCACCCTAAAACTGCAATGGGCGTTCAATGGCAACGAATCGGACCTACAGGATGTGAGATATTCACGAATTATTTCAAGCCTTTCTCATCAGAATGCTGTAGGAAATATTCACCTAATAGACGTTTTGTATTTAAAGATTAGTTGTTACACGTCTGGGAAGAATATTTGCTCGGGATTGCGACGCGTCAGTGAGCCATCAAACGGAAAATGTGGTAGGCGACCTTTCAATTGACTGTTCTTTATCATCCGTACGGCGTTAACCTCGAATGCTATCATTAAAATAATTACTAACACAAATTTGTCCATATCTAATTTCCGAGGAAATTGATTCGCAAGCTTGGAGTATATATATATCAGTGGGCCCCCAGCTTTCCGCGTGCGTTTTCTGGTCTATGAACTCCAGTTTCCAATTTCGTACCGTGCCTGAAAAGGCCTGTTCTGAGAGACCCACTCCGAGTTCGCGCATTAATTTTCGCGGAAAGTAGCTAAGAAAGTTGAAATAAGACATCATATAGAAGAGTACACACGGGAAAAGCTGGAGGACCCACTGATGCGCCGAACCCTTCGCAGCTGCATCAGGCAGCGGCATAAGATCGACAACACACTCGAGTCTGGGTTCCTTAGATAATACTAGTGTTGTCAGTACGGTAAAATAATTACACAATTACGAATTTGCCCATTATTGCACCTCCATTTGTTGAGGATGATCTAGACCGCTTACAGAATGAGACCGCCGGTCAAAAATATTTTAATCAAGTCTAATAATTGTTTAGTGTGACTCACGGAAGATGGTATCCCCGGATATACTGAGTGGTCCACAAAGGGCCTACCCACACCTAATGTATTCACTCTCTTAGATAACCCAGTATAAAGGGGAAAGCTGAAGCAGATTCAGGTGTTTTCGCAATCCTGAGATTTTTGTCATTTACATCTGACCCACTACGTTCATAAAGATGGTTGAGACAGCTTTGTGTGATTGATTATGTAGGTAAGTCGGTAAATACATTTTCCTGATGATTGTTTATCCACTGAAAGTCATCCAGTGACCATATACCACAACGCTGTGGATAAAAATCGGAATCATTAAATCTTAAATTATTCTCGTTTGCACTGATATAATACCGGAATTAAAATATATATCTTGCATTTTCCTCTTTCATATCATTTAGGCTACTATATGAATGATGGTCGTGTAACAGTCGGTCTTTATGTGACTAACAGAAGAGCTTTAAAGAGTTTCTTCTACTGTTACGCGGACAAGCAGAAGACTAAAGCACTAACCTACATTATTGACTGGAGAGGTTGGTCTTTGACATTGCTGTGTAATGTCTGTGCAATGTTAATGCCTTTTTGACTGTTTGTATGCAGACACAGTTTTTGAGTTTTATGTAAAAACATTCTTTGTTACTTTAGGTTTTTCTAAAAGTAACCCCGGACCAGTCACCACTACGCAAATGGTGCAGCAAAAAACCACTTCGGGGGCTGCGAAATTAGTAGGTAAGTCAGAGCTGGGGGTCTAAATTAATGTTGCTTTTTTATACAAAACGTATCGGTTTAACGACAGTTTTACTAAAAAAATGGGTTCTCTTGTTCGTAACACTCTGAAAGCTTCCTTATTTGCCCACTTTCACACCGCGTGAAGGAGCGGCGTTTCCAGTCTTCTACTTGTAGACAGATGTACGGGTACTTAAGAAAGTATTTGGCGAGAATGTGGCAAAGTGCTGGTAACAAAATCGTCTTGAGGAATTCGCTGAAATATGGCAAAGAGACGAAATTGCAGTGACAGAATCTTCTGCCCAAACCCATTGGGCCATTAAAGACCGTAATAAAATATAATTTTTAACAGTGTAGGTGGGGATAATTAATTGTGAAAATTTAAGAAATTTAATGTTGATTTGTGCTTTTTCTTCTGTCTGCAGTGTGTGCCATCCTGTTTAATTTCTGCGTGTTCCTGGTGTGAGAGGTGGCCTTGGGCTTGTGGATACGGATCGCAGCGACAAGATCTCCGGCGAGACCGTGTTGTCGAATTTGTGCTTTTGATCAATTTCTTTTTTTGTATTTATTGTAGTCTTTACAAACAACCATATCAGCACATAAATTCATACTGCACATGCTGCCTACATTGTTATTAATAGAGAAAATTCTTCATGAAACGTCTTTCACAGAATATAATGAATGCAGAGGGCATTTACTCAGCTTTCCACGGTTCACAAAGATCGTCATGCTAAAACCGTTGTCCCCGAGTTGATAGAATGTTTGACAATGGGTATATCCAAATCTTTCGGTTTTCAGTGGAATATGCTTTCAAAATTATCCACAGATACAAGAGAATGTACAATTCTGACTTTCGTTGAGCTCCTAATCTGTACGTCTTATATTCGGAAAGATAAGATATGACAAATCGAAATTCCTACCAAAAACCGCATTTCTTACCGATTTTAACGGACGTACCCAGAGGAAGGATCGAAATGTGCATCCGAGCCGTTGCCAGAAAACACCAAACATGGGGAGCTGGTACTAAGTTGAAAAACAGACGCTGCATTTATAAAATGTGGTTATTTGCATGCCAGTATATTTCTTTAAAATAGACTATCTGAAATCGGTGTCGCAATCGCCTTCCGTAATGACTTCGTCGAAAATGCCTCCCATGGGGCACGCTTCGACCCATATTTAAAATTCGCGTGGAAAATTAAATCCAGTCTATTTTGAAAAAGTAACCGTAACCGTTTTGAACTATTTCGTACGATTGCGCGCAAAGGATTTTGCCGGGGTCTATTCGTCTTCCTTTGCAGAACATCAACATGGAAAAGTTTGAAAAATATTCTAGGAAATATGCAAAACCATTGACGATTTGGGATCGCGGAATTAAGTGTAGTTTTCTGAATTCCAACATTTGACCTTTTGCTAATTGAGAAATAATCAAGGTACATCGATATAACCGGTTCGCAAATGTCTGCTACAAACACTTCAACGGTATGTCTTTTGAAAATGGCTGTAACTCGTTTCTCGACATTTTGATCTCAAAGATACATAAATTTATACAATTTGATCTAGATGTCCTCGTGTACATTCACGTTTCCGCATCTATTTTCGCAAATAACGGTAAACTACTAGGTGGTTTGGCGGACATGAAATAGCTAATTATGACCCAAGTATGGAAATCTTGTTGATTTTCGTAGGATTCAAACCCACTGCAGTAAGGGGAAGGCTTAGATTCAGCCACTGATCAGGCTACCTAAGCTACGTGATCTCACCGTAAGCCGTCATCTAAGTGGTATTTGGTTCAAGTTATCTGCCTAGCCTACTGCAACGTATGAATTCCACCAAATCGGACACAGTTAATCGACAGCTCACGCAGAAAATATGTATGGGATAGAATTGACCTACGTAGCATAATGAGGTAAAATAGTCATTGGAACGTTTCATCAAGCTGGCTGGACAAGTTTGCTCAAAGATGAAGTTAATCCATTGCGGATTATAAACACGGCAGAAAGATTGATTTGAAGGAGGGTTTTTCTGGCGGTCTGTGTGGAGATCAGAGTTAAATCTTTGCTACTGACAATACATGCTTCAGAAATCTCCGGTATGCTGCAAAATGCCACATTTATTGCAAGGACAGTAAAGTTTGATAATGTTCACTGCCCACATATCATTCTTTTTTTATTCTTCAACAACGTTTTGAAGGGATTTTTGCAATGGCGGATTAACGTGACGATATGAGTAAGCCTTCAGAAAGGAAAACGTATTATCAATCACGCGGCCAGCCTGGTATTTTTGAATATTATGGATGAAATGGACAAACAAAAGCTACAATTAACAGTCGTTACACGCGGTGCACAGCTAATTTCAGCATCAGGTTTGAGCTCTCTGAGTACAGGATAGAAGAGAAATTCGTTAGCATTTTTTCATGCAACAGTTGTAATGCAACCCATTGTTCCCAAAGTTGGAGAATCTGTCTTTATCCAAATACGTGAACGAAAGATAGTGGCGTGATGACGAGAAAATTTATATCTGGCAGCTGATCACAGTGCAGTCTTTGTCCAGGAACACAAATTCAAACCAAGATTTGCTAGGCATGCGGAGTCTTTAATCGTCTAGTGGAACTGCAAATATCCCTTTGGTGAAGGCTGCTAAATGGACCCCAAAAATCTCCTTTGTTCGGATAGAGAACAAACTGTGTTTTCTAGAAACTCTCATACGCATCGCAACAGGAGTGTCGGTAAAAAAGGAGCTCGGGCTTTGCTGCGTAGAGGGAATTCGTTAGGGACATCGTCATATAACAGTTTCAAAACGTGCAGTACTACCCTTGTTACTTTGCGCAAACAAGAGCTTTTCGCCATTGTACACGGTCTTCAGTCATATACCTCAGCAAAGACAACCGTATAAAGTTTCAACCAGATGATTTCTAAGAAGAACTGAAAGGAGTATATTCCCTGTCCGAAGGGACAGTTCACTGTGGTTCAGTATAATTAAGGGTGATAGGCGGTTCCTTCGGAGGCCCTTTTGAAGACTGTACATGCACTATTCCACTAAAAACAAACAAATTGTCAGTTAAATATACGTCTACCTTTACTACCGTCCCCTGGATATGGCAGTCGAGATAGTTGAAGTACTACTACAAATCAGATACAGTTAAATGGAAAATACCTAAGAATGCGCCAAATGCCCCCAACACCCACAATTATGTCTGAATTCGCTCTTTAAATGAGACGAAAATATTTAGGGGATTTTTAGCCACCCGTCAATCGATTTACAGATTTCGAGACCCAGCCTGAAACCTGGTAATTTATTAGTATCGGCAACCTAAATATTCAATATTTACGCTACTAGCATTCAATGAAAACCGAAGCAATTAGTCTCTTTGGAGCCCAGTCGAATAAATAAGATCAAGATAAAGCGAATACTTTGAAAGACTGAAGCGTCACGGACTAACGACAGTGCATTTACTCCACCCATTTGGTTGATGACATTGTCAGAGGGTTTGTCACAAACGTCGCGTCAGTTGTACATACACACAACCTCAGACTATAAATGGATTGCTCCCAAACAAGCCCACGAACGAAACTGACCAACAACCGTTCATGTTTCATCTTTTTGGTGTGCACTGGTTCAGTTCAGTTCGTAAATGTCGCTGTGACGGTAGGAAAACAATGTGGATGAGTACGCCAACCCCACTTGCATGCCGGACATGACAATTATTGCAGTTTGGCACATGTACAATCGGGAACTAGGTCTTGTATCGTACAAGTAGGCGGGTAGCCGTTGTGCCAATTCCATTCCCGATAGCTTGGCATTCACAAACCGCTAACACTTGAATGAGGAAGACAACATGAGGCCTACACTGCCAATTTTCGTCCTCATGGAAGATCAGAACAATAGTCATCATCTGAAGAGCATAAGTGTGATTTTTATGCCTGCCACCTTGTGGGGTCACTGTATCTTTCTGAAGGCGGAGGGTCAGGTCGAAACATGGAATATTATGGTACTATAAGTTACATGGGCGCAGAGTTGCACATGAATATGTAGCCCGGTGTATATGCGGCAGGAAATTTAGGCAGGTGACAGCATTTTCATTGATAGTACACACGTTGCCTAGTTGCCTCACGTCGAGTGACTCGAACATCTGAACGCTACGGGCGTGGGAGGCGCTAGTGAAGCATATGCAGCTCAAAAATGCTTCACAATGTGCGACTTCATATGCATGCCATCGCAGCTGAACGTACCCCGTGGTTCCGACACTTTCGTTATGAGCCGGTGCATGTTTTACACGCTGGAGACGCCGAGCGAAGACGAACGCGTTATTTGCTTAAATGGGCTCAAATCAAGATTAATGATGGGGGTTGAGAAGGACAGCGGGAGGTTAATTGGTAGAATTTTCAGTTTCAGCGGTTTCAAATCTATGCAAAAGTTCATGCTCGGAAAACTTACCGCAACATATGACAGATGACCATAGGGTTTTCAAGGGCATTGTCTAGTTCCCTTAAAATATACTGACCTACAATATACTCACATATTGCCACCATAAATGCGGTTAATCCGTCAGAAATTCTTTGGCACAGACGAATATTAGTTCTGCGGATAGGGCACTTGAAATTATTGTCCAGGAACATCCAGGTGTACAGCTTCACTTTCGTGGTTGTTTTCATAAACAGAAGTCAGTTCCCTTTGTCTGGCAATGTGAAAAGTTAACAGCGATGACTGAGACTGACAAAACAACTGGCAAGCCATCCAATTGTGTGGGGGTGTTCACTTTTTATCTCGCATAACAAGAAAAGACGAGACTGCTCCCTGTCTCAGATGCCAAAACCTAAGGCGTTCTCCAACTGCTTGGGAGGAAACTTGATACCTTTCCTTTAAGGTTTACGTGGTGCGACCGCGAACCCGCGGTTGGACTCTTAAGTCGGTATCACTTCCTTTTTCACGTGCTCTGGAGATCTTCAAGCAGCCTAAAAGACTGTGAATACAACTTCCAAATAATAAACATGGGAAGTTTAGCCTGAAGTCTCCTACTGGTCGGGTATTTGCAACTTTCACGAGTGATACCGTCTTCAGATACTGGCTTTCGTAAAAACACACTGGACAAACGGCAAAGGGCAGTTAGTCGTCTCTTTTAGTTTCCACTGTTCCCAGAGACATGTCTTTTCATGCTGTGAGGCTTTTGAACCACCATGAATGAAACCACGATCTACGTGCAGAATACACTTACGTAATCTCTTTCATACATGCGCAAAACCCAGCATGGGTTAATTTCCAAAGGTGAGATTGTTATTCTTATTTCGATACGAGGATAATTGGGGCTTCATTTAACGATTCGATACGAAATTTCAGACACAGACTCTTGCATTTATTGATGACTTAGTAGTCGGCAATACATTTCACAGCCCTGTCCATGGCGCAGCAAAATCACTCTGGTGTAAGATCATACCACGTTAATCAACGGTCTTCCTACAAGTGCACCCA